TGAAAATATATTCCCATTACAACAATGAACACAAATTAATACAGAACTCGTCTTTTTTCCTTTGCTCCAAACTAGGCTGAGACCTGTTCAAACAGAGAAGTTGTCCATGTAGCACTCCAATCTGCTCTTTAAGAAACATTTAAAAAAAATACAACACTTCTGAAAGCTTGGTCATTTGTTCCTTGATCAACATCCAAAGAGTAATTCTCAGGTCAGCAAAAGTTTTTCAGAAACGAGACAACCCCTGAAACAGGGGCTGTTTCCAACCATTAGACCCCACCAGCTTCTGCGCGCAGCTCAGAGCGCTCTCCAGTCAATGGGTTTCTTGCCGGACTTCTTGAGCAATTCATTTGTCTTCGAGAAATGCCGACAGCCAAAAAACCCTCTGTTGACAGAGAGAGGCGAGGGATGAACCGTCTGCAGGACGTGGTGGCGTTTCTGTAAAGCGTTAGAGGAAACCGCTCGTTAGATTTGCATGCTTTCAGCTGCCTGGACAAGGCTGGCTGCTTCTGCCCCAGCCAAGCCGGTGTGATTTCCTCTCTACACCTCCTCAGCCACCAGCCTGAGGACCCGAAGAACTGGCCGTGAGGACCAAGACTTTTATCCCACTGAGCAGAGGAGGATGGAATACATCAAGCAGCAGTAACACCCTGGCCGTTTTTCAATTGCTGTAATCCTAACGGCAAGTTTTATACTTCTTCATGAGCCTTTTCCTAGAAAAAACAGCTCTGTCCTCATATGGATGCTTTTTTGACAACAGACGGTTACACTTGCCCCACTTTTGTTGCTTAATTCTGGCAAAGGCTAAGCTGGAACAGAAGGGCAACTAAATTTGACAGCAGAGTTCAAGCAGGGAGAAAACCCCAACTCTGTAAGGAAAGTGCCCTCTAGTGTCCACCCAACTGACGAAAAAAAATTAGTGAGAGGGAAGAGACGAGGAGTAACCTGTACCCTGTCAATGGAGCTGCCTTTCTTCTGGGCGTAGGCTCCCCACAGCATGAAGACAACCCCGTGCAAGTTCTTGTTGAGCCAGGACACCACCACATCCGTGAACTGCTCCCAGCCTCTCTCCTTGTGGGAGGTGGCCTGGTGAGCTCGCACCGTTAGAACAGCGTTGAGTAGCAGCACTCCTAGCAAACCAAGCAGATACACAGAGGATGAAACAAAAAAATCAAGCGTTAACTGCTTTTTCCTGCTTCCCCTGAGAAATGATAAATTAAATTTTCATCCTAAGGTACCCGCTAAGCAACAGGCACTCAGAATTGATTTTCTCTTTTACAGATGGACTGTTTCCAACCATGGGTCTTTTCTTCTCACTAGGCTTCTTCACGACCTGCAGTGACTAGAATCACAATTGACAGAGTGACTATTAACTCACCTTGCTTGGCCCAGCCAGTTAGATCACCATGACCAGGATGAGTGAAGTCCTCAATATCCGTAGACAGTTCTTTGTAAATATTTTCTAAACTGCAAACAAAAAACATCAGAAGATTTTAAACATGCACGGTTAAAGATAAGAGCAAACAGCACCACTTACTGCCCTTAACTAGACAAGAAGAGTATTGATTTTAATCTTATCGTTTAAGATAATAAAGCCATTTGTAGAAGCAGGGTAACAAGGACCCCCTGTGTGTGCCTGGGTAGCAGCTTAATGAGAAGGTCTCAGCACAACTGAAAATGCAAATTTACATCCAGCACGCTCTTGAGAATATCAAACTATATAGAATCATCCATAATTTTGCAGTGATTTTTTTTTCCTAGGCAATGCACAACTCAAATTTCAGTAGTCGCAACACACTTCCTATCACTTATCTGGCTCACAGCCGTAAGCAACAACGGGGATTTTGCAAATTGAGTGCTGTCATACCTGGGGGGAGGTGGAACAGGCTTCTGGACACTGAAACAGAGCCCATGAGCTTGATTAGGTCCATGATATGGATCTTGTCCCAAAATGACAACCTTTACCTGAAAGCAGACCTTTGTTAGCACTGAATTATAATCAGTATTATTCCCAAAAGAGGGAAGGGAAAAAAAAAAGAAAAAAGCTTATAAATGAGCTTTATCCCATAACAAACACACAGACAAAAAAAAAACCCAAATGAAACACCAAACCCCAGGAACTGAAGTTAAATCACTGACGCCTCATTATAAACAAGTTAAAGAACACAGTCCCCACCTAACACTAAGGATTAACATCACCACAGCTCTGCTGCTAAGATTATGAAGATATTTTGAGTGCAAAAGACCAACATTTTCAACAAGCCACAATAAAACACCTTGTTAAGGTATTTTCCAAGTAGATTTCCTCACATTTTAGTTTTATGCCACACTTGCTGTGATATTTTTGACATGGCTTATCGGCAATGGGATTACCTTAAACACTGTCCTTTTTTTTTTAATTAATTATAGTTCATTACAGATTGATTAAAAAAACCAAAGAGATGTACGAGATCCAAAAATCAGGCAGTACATTGAGTTGGTAACACTGGAAGTCAGGTCAAAAGTCCAACTAAAGCTTTAAAGGAAATTCTGTGGCCAGTGAGGGTAATAAAGCAGTAAACCCATGTTTCAGTATCAGAGATGAAAGAGAAGCCAGGATTGGCAAGTTACGCGAGAGAAACGACAGCATCCACGCGACACGGGACTGATGCTTAAGAGACCAAACATCAAATGACTGTGTGTGCGTGTGCGCATCCAACCCTGCATTTTCACCGTTTTAAATGCACCAGCGGCTGGAGCGACGCCCC